ATTCAGCAGCTTTTAATTACAATTTAATGATTAATAAGGTGGAAATTTTTGCTATTGAGATGTATGTAAAAGCTGATCATCGGTAATACAAGCTGATAATTTCAGCAATTTTATCAAAGAATTGGTAAAAAGGAAGAGAATGTATGTTTAGATTTATTGTAAGATCATCGGTTTAGAAAAGGTAACAACTTCAGCAATTTCAACGAAAGGATTAGCAAGAAGAAATAAAAAGGAGATCAAAATGCACAATATGTTCGTCGGTTCAAAAAGGTAAAAAAAGAAGGTGAGAATAAAATTCATAAGCGTGAATTACGAAATCTCAGTTGCAAATGTACTTGCGTTTGAGGCTATTTTGTGGCTATGGTAACATGGCGGTGACATATGTGACATATGTCTATGCAACGTATCACAGATGGTATATACGCATACCAGAACCAACTGTATTACTTCATGATCTTTACCTGCCATATGGTGACTATATATGGTGACTGAAGAGTTCTTAATGAGATCAAAGAATGAGACGAAGAATTTATTCTTTTCAAAGGCTCGTGCTACCTTGATTGTATAGTAAAGCTCAATGTTCCAGCCGGAAGAAAATGCCTAGTGATGTGGCTGTACTGCAACTCAACCAGCTGTTGCTTGAAGTGTCTTACCATACTTAGGCTCAACCAGTTGTTGCTTCAACCGATATGGGTATTGCGGTTCATCACCACCACAACTCCACCAAACGTCAAGCAACTGAAGCAGTTAAGCAATTTGACACGAGTAAACTTCGCCAGCTGTTATGTGTAAGGTGGCAGACGATCGGCAGCTGTTACAATATGACTCGTTGCAGATGTTGCTGTAAGAGCCTTCTCTCTCTCTAGCTACTGTTGTTTCTCTTGCTGTTGTTAGTGTTGCCTTTTGTTAGTGATACAAACGTACACTTCTACAGCGGGCGTTCTGATATAACAGGCGAGCTTCAGCTGTAGTATGATTTCTTCGCACTATCGTGTAGCATTGTAGCTACCTTCACGCTATCGCGTAGCATTGTAGCTGCCTTCGCACTATCGTGTAGCATCGTAGCCGCCTTCGCACTATCGTGTAGCATTGTAGCTGCCTTCACACTATCGTGTAGCATCGTAGCCGCCTTCACACTATCGTGTAGCATTGTAGCTACCTTCACACTATCGAGTAGCATTGTAGCTGCCTTCGCACTATCGAGTAGCATTGTAGCTACCTTCACACTATCGTGTAGCATTGTAGCTAACTACACACTATCTTGTAGCATTGTAGCTGCCTTCGCACTATCGTGTAGCATTGTAGCTGCCTTCGCACTATCGAGTAGCATTGTAGCTGCCTTCGCACTATCGTGTAGTATTGTAGCTACCTTCGCAATATCGCGTAGCATTGTAGCTGCTTTCACACTATCGTGTAGCATTGTAGCTACCTTCGCAATATCGCGTAGCATTGTAGCTACCTTCGCACTATCGCGTAGCATTGTAGCTGCCTTCGCACTATCGTGTAGCATTGTAGCTGCCTTCGCACTATCGCGTAGCATTGTAGCTACCTTCGCACTATCGCGTAGCATTGTAGCTGCCTTCGCACTATCGTGTAGCATTGTAGCTACCTTCGCAATATCGCGTAGCATTGTAGCTACCTTCGCACTATCGTGTAGCATTGTAGCTGTCTTCGTACTATCGTGTAGCATTGTAGCTGTCTTCGTACTATCGTGTAGCATTGTAGCTGTCTTCACACTATCGTGTAGCATTGTAGCTGCCTTCGCACTATCGTGTAGCATTGTAGCTGCCTTCGCACTATTGTGTAGCATTGATATGTATACCATAGACTCAGAGGTGGGCAGTAGCGCGCTACATGTAGCGGCCGCTACATTTTCAGTAGCTGTATAGCGGTAGCGGCGCTTCATTTAAGGCAATGTAGCGGTAGCGGTAGCGCCCGCTACATATTTAAGTAGCGATACGAGGTTTTGCCGCTACAGTGCTACCGCTACATTTATAGAAAAGCCTTTCTATTTTACTTAATAGTATTAAATATTATTTAAAAACCAGCATGATACATACATAATATACTGTAAATTCCAGAATAAAACTGTACGAAAGATTTCGGTGTAATGTTGTCAACCTCAGCCTGTTACTAGTGTCAACATGTTAGTTTTTACTTGTTAAGTTGTTAAACTTGTTAACTTGTTAAATACCACTTACAGGTATTTTTCATGTTTCAGTTTGCTTACAGTTATTCTACACAGTTATTTTTATGTTTCACCTTCCCTACACGGATGTCTACTTTAATCTACCAATCTCAAAAATAATCCACATATATATACAAATATAAGACTGATTTTTTGTATGTACTGTATATGTGGATAATTTTTGAGATTGGTATATTAAAGTAGGCTAGTTATCCATGCATGTAGGGAAGGTAAAACATGAAAATAACTGTAACTTTTATTTACTGTATCTAACCCGTACTAGTTCGGTTAGGTTAATTGCAATAAAGTTGCATTGATTAGTATAGTATAGTATAGTATAGTATAGTATAGTATAGTATAGTATAGTATAGTATAGTATAGTATAGTATAGTATAGTATAGTATAGTATAGTGTCTTCGGCGCTGAAGAATAGGCCTGTCGCCGATGATCGTACTTTTCTTGACTAGTTCACATTGTAGCTACGTTTGTTAGCAAAACACACGTGTCAGCGAAACGCACGTGTCAGCTTAAAATAGAAATGCATTCGTCACAAAAACTGGAAAGGCCTCTTTCAACCGGTTTCTCAAGATTCAACAACCTGTTTGCAATTAACTTGTAGATAAGCGCAACCGAAAACAAGTAAACCTTGAGCTACGCCCCTGAAAAATAGGAGACATAGGGAATGCCTATAGGACTCGGGGAGCACGTAAATGTGCTACTCTGTCCGCCTATTGGTCAACATTCCGATCCTTGGTCGGACTGTAATATGCGAGAGAACTCCAGAAGATATTTTTTATCTCGTTATCTTTCTTGTTGAATCTTGAATTGTTACGCAGGATCTACCCGACCTCAGTTCGCAATTCCGGTGTTCACAACGAGTTAAACTCTTCTGCTGTGATCTGACTCCATAAGATCTTGTTAATAATAAGTAGTCAGTCGTCAATGATACAAAACTGATTTACACTAATTATTTCTTTATTTCACTCAAATTTTCAAGCTCCCCAAAGGTTGACCATCGTGTTTATTAATGTCACTAGCAACGTTAAAATTTTGCCATCGTGAAAATCGATTTCGACTGGAAATCAGAGCTACGGACGGTAAACTGGCTACGAAAACGCATTGACATCGAAATTTCGAGCGAACAAAGAAATGTTGGGCTATCAAACATCTAACATAATTTCAACTCGACAAACTCCAAAAATATCAACAAATGAAATCTCACATTTCTACTGAACACGAGGAACCTATAGCAATGATAACAGTTGCCCCCCGCCGTCATCCTGCTCACAGTGACCCACCATTAAATTCTAACTTAAATTTATTTGATTCACTTATATTAGAGCATTAAAAAAGAGATTCAGCTTTGAGGTTAATGCGATTGTTAAAATCGCAAATTTAAGCAATCGAGAACGAATTCGGTTACAGTTCAGAGTTACAGTTCAGAGTACCGAGATTGGAGCAGAGAGGAGCGGGTTCGATCCGGCTGGGATCGAACCCGATGGATAGCTGGAATCCAATCCGTAGAGATGTATCGTAGTATGAGAGATCGTATCGTAGATTTCTATCAGGCTTTCGGGACACTGAAAGATGAAGATGCTGTTGGGTTCCTTCAGAATATTGGGACTGATGGTATCGTTGAGTTTGACATTGTTGTCAAGGGTGTCCATGGAGCCTGCCGAATACCTCGCTGATCTTGAGATGACGCTACTCGTTTGTAATACTTTGAGTAGTTGCGAACTTGCCTCATTTGGAAGGATAAACGGCTGCTCAATGTCGTCGTAATTACTCCAATTATTCAAATGTAGTCCTCTTTGATTGACATGCGAATGAATTCCTCAGGAAGTAATTATATACCGTACTTATTTTCATCAAAATTTTCGTATTCAATGCTTCCTATAACTAGAAAATGAATTTTATCATATTCGACACGTTATTTAATATATTTTAAATTAAAATTCCTTTCTAATACCTGCATTTTGATCAACCAAAGTCATCTAAAGAATTGTTCCATCTAAAAATTTAAATCAATGAATACATATCTATAGATATAGTTTTGCAGGTGCTGACAAGCTCGTCCATGCATGAAGGTGCGGAAAGCTTCTGCCCACTGCCTACCGCTCGAGTCTTGAAGTGCAGTCTCTGGGCATATACTTTCAAAAAAAGTTAAGAGATCGTAAGTTCATCAGCCAATTATTGACGGCCTTTCAAGTAAAATCCACCAATCATAGACAAGAAAATTGAACGTAAGTACTTACGTTCACTTAGCGAGTTTTGAAAGCATGGCCCCTGTTAGCAGCTTGCAGCACGGTAGGCTTGGCCAAGCCTACTCTTGTCATTCTCGCAAGAGACTATAAAGTCGGCAAGGCGAATCTTACTAGTCGCTGATTACGATCGGGTGGCCAATTAGACACAGAATTGGTGGGGTTTGTCTTCAGTTATGGAGTATCCACCGTATTATTATGAATATGAATAACTCTAACCCAACTGTGGCGAGTCTGCGGTGGGGACAGAAGCATACCCCAAATTTTATTAGGGACGAGGTTTTATAGAATATTTCCCTTTTTAAATGAAGGTCTAGGAATAATTCAATATCCGTTATTTGTTCGAATACAGCTCGATTTTTCATAGTCCGTCAGGCTTTCGTTTATAATTGAATTGGTACAATGCAAAGCAAATTCACAGTAGCGTTGTGGTACTAACGTTAGCGTCAATAATATTCTAGCTAAGAATCGGTAGGTATTAAAATTAAGAACCGAAAACCATTTTTAAACTTTTATGAAACACAGATAACATAGGAAAATGATACATTCACAAAAGTAAAATATTTTATTTCATCATTACACAAATGGTTGAATTTCACTTTCAAATGTGCTCACATTTAAGTTGAATTTCAGCTTCAAATGTGCGCACATTCATGTTGAATTCTTACCCCAAATGTGCTCACATTCATGTTGAACTTTTGCCTCAAACGTGCTCGCATATAAGTTGAACTTGGGCATAAATGTTCTCACATCTAAGTTGAATTTACTGATTACATGTTCCCACATTCGTTCAGCTATTCAACTAACTCAGGTTCAAGACAAAACAAAAGTGTACGAGCGTCTATATAAACTAAGCAAAATATTTACATTATCTAATAATAAAATGTGAATATCAATAGCCACAAATGCACGAACACTGTACAAAAGCAAACGAAAAATAGCATCTTTGGTTAGCAAAATCTTATAGTAACTTTTCTGAACAAGTTAACTGTACTGTCGAAAACAAAAAAACAAAATATTGCTTCACATGCATTGAAGTGATGCTCATAAATTTGTTTTCCGGACCTAAATCGATTACTTTGTTGTCAATCTTTTCGAGAAGATTTATAATTAGAAAAAAACGGTTGAAAATACAGGTTTACACTGAAAAAATAATGCTTCAAGTATTGTTACACGTGAGGTCGACACGAAACAAAACAGACGAATACGTACTATCTTACATAAGAAAGATTTTTGATTTCTATTAATTTCAATATACAAACAAGCTCAGTCACAAAATCCTCCTTACCCAAACGAAAGGAGAAATTGCATTTCAGTTCAGACTAGTGAGCGTTATTCGTCTTCTACGTGTGGATGCCGAGCAGTGTTTTCTACCTTTTTTGGAATATATCGCACGAAATATGATGCTTGCAACATTATATAAACAAATTTTTAAATAACATAATAAAGCAAAAATTAAAAAAATTATTACCCCTATCATGATACTTGATTTCCTTTAAAAGTACTGAAATCAGAAGATATATATAGGAGATGCCCATATTGGTTGTCTCACACATCTAGAACCAGGGCATATTATCTCACTAGATTAACCCATGCACACAATATACCTAGCATTGTGCAAAAAAGAAAGTATTTCAGCTTGACGCGTCACATCCAGTTACATGGGATGTAAGAGAAAGCTTGTAATAACGTTATATAGGTTCAAAAAAACAACGTCTGGAACGTAACGATCTACAACTGACAAACTCAAGCTTCGATTTCGAAAGTCTTTCATGTAATAACAACTGTGCAAGGAAGCTACGTGCTTCTTCGTATAAAGGTATAATATTACAGCGCAGTTGTTCAATTTCAAAGATTACTTCGAACAAGTTGCCGATATTAGAGTCAAGGGCTTCCGAACACTAGATTTCCTGGCTTTGAGTTTAGTTGGGGCGGAAGAAGTCGAATTGGGCATCGACAAAGAAGCTCCAGCTGAAATTTCCCCAGAAAAAGTATATGGATTTTGTGAAATTGGCGATAATTCGTATTGCAAAGACGAGGTTTCCCTTCCACTAGGTACACCTGTGAAATTTTGTGAAGAGTTCGCGCGGGATGGGAAGAGGTGCGAGATATCAAACTCTGGAGCCATGCTCTGTAGAAGTCCGCTGATATAAGCGCTGTTCTCGAGTACCTGAATCATGGGATGGTCGATAAGTTGGTTCTCGAGTTGCTTGATGTAAGTTATGACGTGTTCTATAACTTCAAGCTTTGGAATTTTTCCGGTTTTCGGCAAGGAAGGCACCAAGACTCTGAGTTTTTGGAAATATTCCAAAAGTTCGCGTTTTTCTTGCAGAGTTTTTGGGTCGCTGACGGGCGGCAGAGGCATGCACTGGGTGGAGTCATGCAGCACCGGCCCCCCCTGGGAGTGGTGGAGACCCCGGGTGCGGTGTAGGGTCTGTCTGCGCTTCTTGCCGGGGTGTTGTGGGTGGGGAAGAGAAGGAGTCATCCCCCCGCCTGGGGTGTTGGCTATACCGCCTGGTAGACCGGGGACACACACGGAGTTGCTCATGTCGGCTCGCATGGTCAGCGTCTGAAACAAATGAAATTTACCATTAAAAATGCAGTTCATCGCAATTACAGTGCATATTCATCGATTAAAACACAAAGAATATATTTTCCTGTTAGTTTCCTCGGCCATAACAGGAAAAAAGTGATAAATGTTGTTAATTTCACAATTTTGCCCTCTACTTTGTTCGCGTGTATCGTTTGAGTTTAAGGCTAAAGCATTTTCTTGCAGCTTTTAATGAGGTGAGTAGGCATTCTTCGCAAGATAAATAATTAAGACTCAGAATTTTTAAATGAGCGTTTACAGGATTGATTCTGCCGCCTCAGAATTTAAACTAAAATTCAAGTGGCAATCTTTTTTCTTTTGAAGAATTCGTTCTGAGTAGCCAAAAACATCGATGACAAAAAATGGAAGCAATTGGAAAAATCAATGACCAAAAATGGAAGCAAAATTGAAAAAGTTGATTTTCACTCACACTCTGATTTAATTTGATTATTAACAAGCTTTATCAAGCGATCATTCATTCGTCACTCCACGCGATCATTCAATCGCTGCTCCACGCGATCATACATGCGCCACTCTACGCGATCATTTAAACGCCACTCTATGCGATCATTCATACGCCACTCTACGCGATCATTTAAACGCCACTCTATGTGATCGTTTTTTAACTGAGACTTAATTAATTTTTCGTAAATTCGAATCCGCACGACACGTGCGATGGCCTAACTGATCCCATAGGGCATTAGTTTCATTGTAAGCTCACTGTTAATTATATAATAATGATGCCCAATTAGCGGGAGCTTAGCTTATGCAAATACAATGTTTTAATGAAAGAGAAAAATAATTGCACAATAAATTCGAGCCAAATAAGCAATTATACATATATTAATATACAGCTCTTGAATCAGCTTTATCAATTAGGCTCAATCAAAGGTATTTGATCCAACAACCATATTCCGATATGATCCATCAACCATATATATATATATATACACGAATTTTCACATTATTCTTATGTATCTTTTCATTAAATTTGTTTGTATAATATTATTCCCTTGTTCCGTAAATGCCATTCATTTCACTATTAAATTCGCCACTGCGTTGCGCAAAAGACACTAGAAAACATACACATTGAAATTGCAATTTCCTTAAACCGTTTCGTATAATAATGTTCGCTCCATAAAATACAAATCATCATAATCACTATTAAAGTGATATTGCCTACATTACCATACAACATACATTAATGTGGTGCACAATCATAAGTATGCTTTGCACCATTGCAGAAATGCTTCGCATAGTCGCAGAAATTCTGTGCATAATCGCAGAAATTCTGTGCATAATCGCAGAAATGCTGTGCATAATCGCAGAAATGCTGTGCATAGTCACAGAAATGCTGTGCATAGTCGCAGAAATTCTGTGCATAGTCGCAAAAATGCTGTGCATAATCGCAAAATTGCTGTGCATAGTCGCAGAAATTCTGTGCATAGTCACAAAAATGCTGTGTATAGTCGCAGAAATGCTGTGCATAATCGCAGAAATGCTGTGCATAATCGCAGAAATGCTGTGCATAGTTGCAAAAATGCTGTACATAATCGCAGAAATGCAGTGCATAGTCGCAGAAATGCTGTGCATAGTTGCAAAAATGAATGAGATAACAGCTGTTGCTGCTGCTACTGTATTCGTGTCAGCAACTGCACAAACATCTGCTTTGCAGGGAGAAAACAGCCTCAAAACAGCCAGGATAACGCGGGGAAGTTGTATGTTTGCGTGTGAATTTACCATAGCGTTTTCTCTTTCTAGGGTAAAATTCATGTCGCAGGGTAAATTCAGCCCGACGTCCGGGAGTTTTTAAACCAATTCACTCCTGTTATCAAGGTTACCATTGTCAAATGGGCATTGATTTTAATAGCTAACCCAATTGAAAAATTGCTTAAAAATAATGGTATGGCACCCAAGAAAGTGCGATACCATTTAACTGGCAAATGAACAGAATAGACATTGACCAGAACCTTGAAAGATAAGAAACTTGAAGACGAATATCCAAATATTCTAAGTAAAAATTAATCCCAAGATCACAGCTTTAACAAGGACGTGGTTAAAGCAACATCAGCGACGCAACGTGCAGCTGTCCTGATGGAAGATCTGCAGCTGCAAGTGTACGTTGCAGCTGCAAGTATACGTTGCAGCTGCAAGTGTACGTTGCAGCTGCAAGTGTACGTTGCAGCTGCAAGGGTACGTTGCAGCTGCAAGTGTACGTTGCAGCTGCAAGTGACCAGCTGCTAGTGCTCTAGCAGCCTTTGCACCATCTGCTAGTGCACCAGCTGCTAGTGCACCAGCTGCTAGTGCACCAGCTGCTAGTGCTCTAGCTGCTAGTGCACCAGCTGCTAGCTACCACCTGTCTCAGCTCTCAAGAGAGAGCAGCTGCGTGGCTGATATGGTGTTCTCAACAATAGGTCGTGTTGTCAACAATAGGTCGTGTTGTCAACAATAGGTCGTGTTGTCAACAATAGGTCGTGTTGTCAACAATAGGTCGTGTTGTCAACAATAGCTCGTGTTGAATTCGGGACTGCTGTCGTGATGACATCAAACCTCTAATCACGATCACATAATGAGACATCAAACGGCCGTTCGGTGCCGCTCAATTAACGTCTAAGCTATGATAATCATCACACTTTACAGTTAGCGTTCGTCACAATTAACACTCTAATTACCCTTCTCATATCACGCTCATCACACTCACGTGAGATGAACTGAAGCAAGAGTTCATCTAATTATATAGCTTTACTGTTACAGTTCGATGACATGCTACAGTATCAACATTTCAACAGCGTTGACGTTTTTGACGTAAGGGCTTTACTAACGTTTGAAAGGTCAAAACAATGCTAAAAATACCCGAACTTTCATTTTCACCATGACTTCTAAACATGAGTTAACGAACTTTCCTCATCACCAACAAGTTTGAAAAAATAAAAGAAGAAAAAAACTGAGCTGGTGAAGATACAGGCAAGGCTAATCTCATGTATGTGAGTGCGTTTGTGTGTGTGTGAGTTTGTACGATGTGGTGCAGGTGTCAGGTGCTCGAGAGAAGCAGCAGCTGCAGCACTCAGCCCCACACCCCCCTCCCTCATTTCTCCCCTTTTCACCCCATCTCAACCCCTGTATCCCGCCTTAGCCCCCACCTTGCTCTCTACCCCCGACCCCCACCATTCCACTGAGCAATGCCTAGTAACGTAACGAATCTCAAGTAACATCGCAAGCGATCGTACCAAGGGAAATAGACTATAAGTCACGTTGATACATACATAGTTCAATTTAAACAAATATCACTATGTCAGCAAACTGAGATGTCAGTGAATATTTCAATTAAAACTAACAATAAGGTAAGTCGTGAGATTCGATTCGAAGCCGAAGATCTGACAGCATGGAAGACGTTTGTTACTTACAGAACTGATCATAATAATGATTAATAATGATCATATTATTATTGCACGAGTTATGTGAGAACACACATGTGTAGAGGAGGTGTGTGAAAGATATTTGTGTGTAAAGGAGATGGAAATTAAGTGTGTGTGTGTTGTTTGCTTGAGACGTGTTCTCAGTTCTGTGATGAGTGTTAAAGGATTTTGTGTATAGATGAGATCTGTGTGTATGTGTTACTTCCTGTGTGCAGGATAACTATGTACAACACTGCTGACAAAATCAGTATTTCACAAACAAGCACAACTCAACTAAGAAAAGTCAACAGGATATAAATAGAATCAAAAGCTTCTCTGGGGCTTGTATCCCATATGCATTCGGCCTTAATATTCCTATTAAGGCCGAACAACGACGACGGAATATACACGACGCAATAATCTAAATCCAATGCACCTTCTCAATCCACTGCATCGAATCAATCCACTTCAGTGAGTCAATCCACTGTTCCGAGCCCAGATAAAAACGTATGTAGTAATAACTCAGACTATTATTTGCTTCATCGCTCGAACATCGAATCCTAACTTCACCTCCACAACATTCAGCCCATAACCTCATCCCTGGAACATTCAATCCTGGCCTCGACATTCGCAAACGACTAGTTAGCTATTGCCTATTGGAATTAAAATCTTGAGAGCAGGCTCTGAGCCGCAGAGTAATCGGCGACTCAGCGGCGCAGAGCTCTGAAGAGCCACCACCTGACGCTTCTTCAGCGAATTTGTTCGAGAGGCGCTCGAGTGGACCATGACAACCTAACCTACCTCAATCTTCCCTAATCTAGCTTAGCCTTGCTGGCAATTTCAGTGCGTATGTAATCGAGTGGGCCACTACAACTTGAGTTACTTGACCTACCTCAACCTAACCTAATCTAGCTTAATTAGCCTTGCTAAGGATATCAGTGCGTATGTAATCGAGTGAACCTTGACAACCTGACCTACCGGCTACCTCAACCTAACTTAATCTAGTTTAGTCTTGCTGACGAAATCAGCGCGTATGTAATCGAGTGGGTCATTAGACTTACAACCAAACCTACCTCAACCGAACCTACCTCAACCTAACCAAATCTAGCTTAGCCTTGCTGAAGATTTCAGTGCGTATGTAATCGAGTGGGCCATGACAACCTAACCCAACCTAATTTTGCTGACGATTCCTACGCAGATGTGATCGAGTGGTTAGCAGAGCAAACAACTTAACAATTGGCCACTCGAACCAATTGTCACCACGGAGCGTTAACCACGGCTCTATAATAATAAAGAATTTTCGGTGAATTATGTGCTGAATTTTAATGAATTCGTCTAACGCATTTTACGAAATGATAAAGAGATAATCATTAATAAATGCTAAATAGTATATACTAGAAGATGAGGCAACTTACAAAAACTCGGTCGTCAAATGCAGTGGCACGATGAGTGTTTGTTTTGGGAGTACGGATGTCTCTCCTCTGGAGTTGAAGGATCACTTGAAACTTAGAACACACTTCACGTACTGCGAGTCACAGAATTGTTACACGCCAGGGACTAACCCTCATGCAACGAAGAAGAACGCTCGACTAAATGTGAACGTTGGAGGGAACGTTTGATATAGGCAGCCGAGGCGCCGCCCCGTCTATCGTCAGCCAATAGGGTGCGCGCTCGCGATGAATGAAGCAAGTATACCGCCACACGTTACTCGCAACCTCCAATACTATTCAACAATATACATTGGCAGGTGTTTGTCGAGAGGCGTGCAGGTGCTGGAAACGTCGGTACATCCTCGTAACTGGTCGTCCGTTCGCTGCTGCAGGAGGCGATTGTAAGACGACGCAGCATCTCACCGGCTGCTCCGTAACCCGTGCAGGTGGTGGCTCTCGCCGCCATCTGTCAATGTCGATCGGGTAAAAAATACAGTGCCAGCTGGGAGGACGCTCGTGCAGGTGTGAGTCCTGCAGAGTGTATGGCAGGAACGCACAATTATAGCAAATACAAGGATAGTGTAAAAGACATCGCTCATATCTTGGCCAGCTGCCGTCAGTTGACCCAGATGGTCGAGGCGAGTAAGGAGGTGCTATCTTCTTAGAACAGATGTTGTGTCATCAGCGAGCGGCGGTTTGCGATGACAAGAGCTTGTAAATGTACACTACTACTGCAGTGAAACTCACGGCGGCATGTGGCAATGAATTGGTATTTCTCATGGTCTTGTTGGTGCGCGGCATGGGCATTGGTACTTCTCATTGTTTCGCTGTCACGTGGCATTGCTTTGGTACTTCTCATGACTTTTTATTTGCTGGCAATGGCATATATATTTACTCCTCTCAGACCTCTTAATCATGAATAACTTGTTTCTGTTTCTCTTACAGTTGATCGAGTTAAATCTGCTGTCTTTTCCTCCATTAATAAAATTTTCCAATCTACATGGTCTCGTTTTCTTCGTCTGATTTCAAAATCTGAATCAAGTCGCACCTATCAAGCCAAATGATGCGTAACCGAGATTAGATATAATTGCTACTGACGCAATGTGCAAAACGTCCATATAATGACAGAGAGTTAAAAAACATTTTTGTCAATGAATGCCCTGATTTTTAAAGAAGGTAAACAATATTTTTCCATGTTTTAGATTCTGCCGTTTTAGCAGTCGAGTCATGTTGCATTTGTTGCAATAGTCATGGTTATTTATTTACAGATCGTTCTTCGAATATTCTAATTTATTTTTAATTAATATAACATAATTTTGTTACTTGTTACTTTTTGTTGCTTGTGAAGATGAGTCTATAGTTTAGCTGGGCAGCAATCTATATGCCTTGTAGGAACATAGAGGCATAGATTATGGCTTAGAATTAACACCATTTGCCAGACATTCATGAAATAAATACATCAACATTCAAACTATATATACAAGTTAACATAAAAGCAGTCACAGTTTTTTACGCATTGTATATTCTGAAAACATGGATAATTTGAAGAGAAATTTGAAGATAATTTGAAGAGAGAAACTCTCACATTATTATCTCGCATATTTTAAGTCGAAACTAAACACATTGATAAACGGGCACAAACACTTATAAAAAACTATAAATATTTTATTTATATTTTGAAAAAAGTTATACAAACAGCACGTATTCTGATTGCAATGCTGATCTTCTTTAATGTTAGATAACTTCATTTCTTTAAATCTTATTGGCAAAATTTTTCTCAAATATAGAGGCTTAAATCTATATATCACAGGCAGCTGCAAGGAAAGGATATTGATTGGTATGCTGAGCAAAACAGGTTTACCGTTAAGTGTTGTACCAGATGATATATATATACGTACCCAAACACACATATATGTTGGTCAAGGTCAATATCAACACCTGCAATGTTAAATGTTGTACCAGATGATATATATATACGTACCCAAACACACATATATGTTGGTCAAGGTCAATATCAACACCTGCAATGTTAAGTGTTGTACCAGATGATATATATATACGTACCCAAACACACATTTATATTGGTCAAGGTCAATATCAACACCTGCAATGTTGGCTTCCAAGGTCATCACTGCTTTACTGTCTGTTATTATTGATAGCTTGGTTGAATGTGGATATCAACAGCTAACACCATAACTTTTGGATATCAACAGTTTATATTATTAATGATAGATATCAACAGCTAACTTTATAAATTGATGGCCTGTTTTATAAATGAGGAGATTTCAACAGCCCGCATTATAGCTGGGTGGAGGTGGATATCAACAGACAACATTAAAAATGGGTTGATATCAACAGACAACATTAAAAATGAGTTGATATCAACAGATGTGATATGCACTCATATAAATGGGCATCACAATACACCTTAAGCGTTTACCGTACGATAAAACATTAAGTGTTCCTCATTAACAAGGGAGCAATACCCCTTAATTGCACATTTAATTATCATTAGATTAGCAAATTTATAATGTATTATAAATTATGAATGAAGTATAATTTTCTTCAGAAATTTAAAATTGACTGTATTGAATTAATTATTCTATTTATTTGTATAATTAAAGGTCTTTTGTTCGTATTTCATTTTGAGTATCATTTCTCACATATCATCACCGTGAGTATTGATAACAATGATAGATGAATGTTAAGATCATTCCGTCAGTGGACTTTAAATGTTTGCCTATTGTCAGTCTTACGATCATTGTGACTATGTGATCTTCGTTGCTGTCTCGACCATATATGTTAATATCACGAGAATTTTAGATAATACTATCATTGTATTATCTATCTACTCTATATCTAACTATCATATTATCTATCTTTCTATCAATGCTATCTTACTAATACTATATCATATTATTTATTAGTTATTTGGGTCTTAAAATCATCATACATGGTACAATCATCGTAGATCTTGTAACGATATGTAGTCGCAGATCTCAATACAATGTAGATAATTTTGATTTTCATATATTATAAGATATTGCAAATCCTTGATATTTAAAGATTAAAAGATATTTACAAAATAGATTATAAGATATTTACAAAATAGATTATAAGATATTTACAAAATCTATATTTATAGATCTTGAGGTGTGCGCATGCGCGGTCGCGAGGCACCGCGCGCCAGCTGCTCCAGCGCGCGAGCAGCTGCGTAAAAAGCAGCTGCGCAGAGACGGCAGCTGTGGCCTCGTACTTGGCAGCTGCCCAGCCGCTACGTTTACAGCTGCCGCTGACACGCTCTCTGGCCGCTGCTGCTGAGTGGGTACAGTTGCTTTGGCATCTGCTGACATTCCAGCAGCTGCCTTATATGAAGTCAAGCAAGTTCGGATAACAGAGTGCGATCTTATTTAGATAATAATCAGCTGTTCGTCAACTTCGTCTCTTCTTGTTCTTCTTGATCAATTGATCGCCGATTTTTAAGTTCTGGTCTTTCCTGATTTCCGGCTGTTCATCGCTTTTTCTTCGCCTTATGTTCTACATTGCACAGTTTCATCTTTGGTTTGCAAACTGACAACAAAAATGGACCCAAATTTATGCATGAAATTAACTTAATTCTCTCTTGACGGCGTTTTAGGTATTTTTTCCTGTAACGGTTCAAAAGTACTTCAAAAAATGAAAGAAAGACATTTAAACTTCAGGCAGATCCACTTCATCTATTTTTATAGGTACCAAGTTACTGTCAGCATATAATAAGATGATTCATTCAAACTTCCTGTTTTATATTTCGCGCCAAGCAAGCAGATGTAAAAGGAACAGAATTGGAAGTATTTCATATGAAAAGCAAGGCCATGAAGTTTTATATCTTGTCTAATTAATGGCAACTTTGCATTGGACAAGTGAGCAGCGTGCGTTAGCTGTCCGGACGTACCTTTCTAATGGTCGTTTCATTATCGCTACTCAACGAGCATTCCGTACTCGGTTCCATAGTCATTATTCATGCCGGATTCCTGATCGGAAATCGATTGTTACGTGGGTGAACACATATAGGGAAAGTGGCAGTGTGAATGAAAGAGGGCCAGGAGGTCAGCGGTCGGCCAAAACACCCAAAAACGCAGAGAGAGTTGAAGAGGCGCTTCTGCGTTCTCCACACCGTTCAGTATGTGAACACTCTGCTATTCGCCTCATCTCCTTGAGAGTTGGCCTTCTTTGGCCGGCCCGATCCCATGATTTGGCTCCGTGTGTTTTTTCTATGGTGTTATCTTAAATCAATTGTTTACAATGACTTTCCGAGGACCATACCTAATTTGAAGAACAACATGCGCCCAGCCATCGCCGACATACCGGTCAGTATGCATCAGCGAGTTGAACGGAACTTCAAGAATCGACTAACTGAATGCATAGACAATGGGGCCGTCGTTCATCTGACATCATCTTTAAAACTAAATTGTACAAAAATTCAGCTTATGTCTTTTTCAATAAAATCTATATTGTAATGATATCTTTAAAAGTTATTTTTAATTGAGCTTTCAAATCCGGAAATTTCCGTAAATCACCCTATACTACCTACCTATCAGCACAATGCCAAAAATGTACTAAATTACAATGCATCTAGCGCTCAAGGCACCATATTATCAAAAAATCTCATGGCGTAAAAAGGGATTTGATTTAAAAAATACGAATGATAGGTCGCTGTCTCCATTGATTTATCGGAATAAGAGGAAATTTACGGAAATCTTGAATTGTGATGAAGTAGAAAAATACAAAATTGAATAAAGGTGTGATAAGGAACTAAACGGCTCATGATGTATCCTAAAATAATTGTATCAGTAATGTCTGATTATTATTTATTGCAATACGATTAAGTTAAGTAACCACCGTCTACCCATCAAATTGTGTGAATTCTCGTAACTGCGGTTCAAGTGATTAGCAGTACGGTATTTTTCAGTATAAAAATTGGATTTTATATCTATCTGAGTTAATAAATGAATTATGAGTAGCGTAGTAAATTAATTTTTCTATAATTATGAAGACATATATCACGTGAGGCACACTAATTGAGCATGATTATTGTTAGTTATTATAATACGTTATACACAACGGCAGCGATTTGTTGTCGCTGCGCTATTTTCATTGCCTGATATCACAAGGATTCGGAAGCAATTCAAGATTTGC